TAGGGTTATTTAGGGTTGGGAGAATAAAAAAAGCCATCTCCAGTTGGCAGCTGTGTGAGTGAGCACGCCAAGCGCCAAGCGCTGGCCTAACCACAACAGCCCAGTGATGCGGTCAGATACCAACTAGATCTGCGCAATCTCTTCTGCTGCGCGTTTAGACCTGCTTTAGTCGGGATGAATAAAATTACTACATTCTGAGATCTGCCAAGTCACTGCAATGGGTATCATAGAGGTTTTCTAAGTCCTATTATGTGTCAACAAGTCACACCAGCTCCCTAGACTTTGATGATATTGATCCCATATATTTGTTTGATGGCCCAGTCGAAACACTACTTAAGTACCGACATGTAGCCACCTGTCTGCAACGTAGACTCGCTATCGGCTCGAGGTTACACTCATTGGTTTGAGCGCGCTGTTCTGAACAGTCGGGGGCAAGCCAGAGCAGCAGAGGGCCGAGTCAGCAAATGTGTACCCGCACCAAACAACCCATCACAGGAACGCAATGGTTGAGACATGGTGCTGCCCATGGAATCTCAGGTAAAACATTAAGCTATTATCCAGGTATCCTCTGAGCAATCCCTGGACACAGCTCGACTAATAGGAATGATTTCTTCTCAGCCGGCTTTAGAAGAGGGGTAGAGATATGTTGCATCTTTCTCGCTTCCCCGCCAGCTTATAGAAAGGAGTATATAAGTATTGCATAGATGGTGTATTTCTCACTGAGCCTACAATATCTCTTTAGCAGAAACTTTAGTGAGGATTCACAGATAACCGTCTATCAGTACAGCGGCTTCTTCTATCAGCCCCTGTCAGCCGTAAAACTGCATTAATCATTTGGATTAAATGCATGGTCCGTCGCTGGACTTGATGTGGATATTCCTCGTAGCCTTTTTTTGAGGAGAGCTCGGAATATGAGATATCTTGTTTCGTAAATTTGACTATAAAGACATTTGCTATATTTGTGTATGTGGATTAGTAACAGCACGTAGACTAATGGTAGAACGTAGATATGGCCAAAGTTAAGTTACACCCGTCTAATACTAGGTATTTGAGCTTAAACCGCTATGTTATATTTAGCGATATGATCGGAACAATTTGTGTGCGCAGAAACCTGTGAGCATAGTAGTCGTAGCGGCGCGCGAACCATAGCCAGCTGTTCGTAGAAGTACATGTTGTTGTTGCGTGCGCAGTACTCTCGTACCCAGCCCGTTACTTGCAGCAAGCTGCCCTGGAAGCATGGAAGTAGACGGGTTGGGGACAAGCCTACGTGCGCAGTAGATAAGCGTACCACGCGAAACACCGTACACACCGCGAGAAGTGGGTCGCAGGGAGTGACAGTAGGAAAATTCAATCTCTAAAGGGAAACCAAAAGGCCAAGGATCTAGCTGGTATCTCGAGGTTCATGTACTACCTTGGAAGGTTCCGGTGTATCCGAGCCTCACTCCATATACAGTCTATGGATACATATAGCCGTGTATCCGTCTAGGTAAAGAAGAGCTTGGTTCGACACAGGCACTTGAGATTTCAACTCGCTGTCCTGCTTTAATTTAGGAATCTATCGTCCGCCCATCTTGCTGTTAGGGTTCAATGAAGTATTTGAGCTCAAAGTTACTCTATCAAATCTTTGCAACGGAGAATCTCAAGCATATGTATAGAAGTCTTAACGGAGTATAACTCTACCCGCCCTACTACACTGATATGTCTATTTCGAAGGTCTTCAAACTAAGCGTTTTTCAGCTCAGAAAGTGAGCATCTAGGTTCCCCAGCCTAGAAGAGAGTGGGTTTTTATAAGTGCGCCACAGAGGGCAGCAAACTTCAATTTATGATTATAATAATCTTATCGAAAGGTAAGAATATCTCTAGTTCTAAGATAAAGATGAGTTGGAGTCCCACAAGTTCAAGTAGAATTGAACAGTGGCCCATGAGATACTGGTATGTCTAACGTGATGAAGGCCAACTCTCTAAAAGGACTCAATTGCAAGTTAAGACTGGAGACGGCATTGAAATGTCCCAGGATGGCTGTACAGCCGTGGGCGGGTAGCTCCCCTACAGTGGTGGCTTCTAGATCGAGCTCTTCGATAAGAACTCCCGGACGGGTCCCTTCTGTCAACCCAGATGTTTTAAAACTAAGCTGGTTGGGAGAATAATCTGTCTATTCGTGGCGTACTGCCTTGAGCTGGAGGTGGGTAAAGGAGGACTTCTATACGGGTTCGTTTATCGACGATAAATGCTCAGGAACTTAGCCCTCACTGTTCATGCGGTTAGCATCTCTTTTCTCACTAAAATGGAATATCGATAAATGTTCGAGAGTAGTGACGATTAATCCTCTATGAAGGGGGCGTTTGTATAGGCATGTTGCTGCATCGCTGGTGTACAAACCTCTGGCCACCGCAGAGGGAGCAGCCTAGCCTATAGATGCACTTAAAAAGCACGCCGTTAGTACTTATCTAAGGATAATTACTACTTTAAAAGCTGGCCCTCTAAACTAAGAGTGTCTATTCTTCTGCTCGCATGTGGGCTTGTCCTTTTATACAGCTGCGCAGGTAATCACAACTTCAGTCTACTCTTGCAATTACTGCAGAATATTGTGGTCCGCGGTTCAGTATTGGGGTATCGTATAGATCTAGAATGCCTATTACTAAGTGTCCCTGCGGTCCAGGAGAAGTTTATACTAATGAAGAGACCCGGCCGAGTCTATTCATACTCTAGTCTAGACCTAGACCTGGGGTTATATACGGTGGGAGTGAACTTATGAATCCAATTTTTAAGGTGTGAGGTGTGATTTAGGTTCTTTAAAAAAAGCTCTATACCACGTAATCCAGGCCGACTCTTTTGTTTGACCATCTCCGATGGATAGTCAGTTAGTCGGGAGCTGGCTCTACACCGAACTTTCATCAAAGAACTAGGTGGTTGATAAAAGGCCCAAGCCTCAGTCAGCTTGTTACACGCCATTATAAGTCTGCTTCTACTGAAAAGCATTCGGTAGACATATTACTTAGGATTTCTTTTGGAGAACCACAACCAAGAGAATTCCATTAATAGCTACCCAAACAGTTTCCGCTACACCGAGACATAACCCCCAGAAAGACGAGATCTCCGAATGAGGATGAGGTTTATCCTCAATTGAAGCAAGATAGTGCCCAATTTCCTCAGATGTTGGACATGGCCAACCCTACCTTAATTTACGTTCCCAACGAAGTGTCTTCCGGCGATTTGGGCAAAACTCAGGTGAACCCGTATATAATACCCTGTAATTCAGTTCAAGGATGGCCAGGGAGCTGTGGAGCGAAGGTAAGCTGCATATCAAAGCTGTCCCCTGCGCAGGCTCGCTTGCTAGCTTAATCTTAGGCTCTGCCGTCCTGGTAGAACCTGCTACGCTCGCTTGGAACATGATTGTTATGACAGTAGCTTCTTTCAAGTTTTCCAGGCTTGAAGTTGTTTTTACAGCGATTTTTATCTGTGGAAACAGCGCATTGGTTGCCTTTATTTTTTTGGAGTTTAATCAGGCAATAGATACCCACACACTAATCATTTAGGGTCTTTTGAATCGAATCCACTATAATATCAGCCAGATATGTCCCATTCGATTCTAGGCGTGGATAATATGGGAGGGGGTGACCAGTAAAAAGGCCTACTCCACTTAGGTCCTAAAATATAAACTTTAATAGAGCACTAGGTGGCGTGTGGGATACGTTTAGATGTAACCATATAATACTTGGGCGCTCCAACCCACGATAAATAACACATCGGACCTTTTGTTCTACAGAATCTTGATGGATCTTAGTAATATCTGTATCAAGATTATCTGAATGATCTCTAGTGTAGTCATTAGGGTTAAGGGAATTGACTTGGCTTGGCCTGAGTTATAACTCATCAGCCTGAGACGGTGAACGATATGGAGGCCTACCATGATTTAATTCATGTTAATGCTAGATGAAAATCAAAGATTCTTGAGAACCTTCTGAGAGGCTCTTAATGTGGAATATCAGTGCTTTCTAGGACTGCACTCCTGTAATGCAAATAACTAGTGGGATTATGCTGAAGTTGTAAGCTAAATCCTTTCATATCCAGTGTCAGGCCTGTCTGATGAATATGAAATGTAGGAGAGCAAATACTATTGAAGCCATCCATTTAGGTAAAGGGAAGCTTTGCTTATTGTTGTTTCTAATAGAAGCTGATTTACGAGCAGTCGTAATGTTTGGTCGGCAGGTGACGAAGGAAAAGCATCCAAGCCAGACTGGTGCTTAGGGTTAGATTGGGCGTATGTGTAGGACAGTCACAAAAATGAGCCCTTATGATACGGGCCCAATCCGGTACTAAAAGTAATCCATCTATTTCTCTGATAATTGTCTAGCCCTCCTGGCGAAGGTGTGTCGTGCGTCCTGTCTAGCAAAGATACGGATTAGGTGCTGCAACTAGATACTAGGATTCTTCTCGTCATCGAGGGTGGTTATACATGTTTCGTTTCAAATGTTCGAGTGGGACTAGTGGGCTCTAATGAAGAAGATAGAATCGATAGAATCAGGCCCAAAGATGGATGTGATCGCGAGATGAACTGGTTAACTGTGTCGATCTATTCGGGTGAGAGTTTGTGTGGGCAAGAGTTGAAATCGCTGTTGGGGGGTGGCTGCGGCCCGAATGAGCCCTTACTTGACACTTAACCCACGTCGCCCCTCCAATTTCTTCACCCGCTACCCTTCATTCCTGACAGCTTGCGCAAACCTCCGAGCCCCGAAAACCCTTTTTTTTTTGCAACTTTTTGTTTTCTTCATTTATATCACTGTCACTTTACAACCCCTTTCTTTCGTTTGCACGACAGGTACACAGTATCTATCTCTATACCTCCATACATCCATATCCTCCTGGAAGCACTGAAAAGGTAGGTACCGGCTTGCACCTACCACTTACCACCGCGTTTCTCTGACCTTTGTGGCCCATTTCTTTAGGTTGTCCTCTGGTGCTGCACTTGGAAGCCATAACACACCGCGGTCGCTCACGAGATGCCAGCACCAGAGAATATTCGGTCAAGGTTTACAGGCAATGTCTGCTTCTACACATTCATTGCGCGTTACCGGCAACCACTTGTTTTATGGCGTAACATAGAAACCGTAATACGCGAGAACGAGCTCGCCCAGGTTCGCGGAGATAGCTCAGCAACCAAATTAGTTTTACCGGGCAACTCAACACCACCGACGACAGATGCAGATGCTCGGGCGTGTAAGCGCTTTGCGGCGCGTCCCAAAGTGAGGATCAATGATATTATGAAGAAATTGCGACCTTCAGTTCCCACTGGGAAGGATGAACCTCAGTTGAAGATTGAGCTTAGAACGTTGAAACGGAAAGTTCCGTCAAAACGGGGATCCAGACCTAGGTCGAATGGGACAGGTAATTCAAGTGAGACTTCAAACCCTGCATAGCTCTCTATCGTTATTTGATCACTGATCATGCCCTTTTCTTTTCTTTTTTTCCACCAGATGAAAAGGTTCCAGCCAATTCAAAACTAAACCGACCTCAACGCCAATCGAGCAAATTGAATAGCATGATATCAGTCCGCTGCAAATGCGAACTCACCATATATGAAAAGAGAGATAGTTCGTCAACCGAGAAAACATCCCCTCCTCCAGTTCTCTACAAATCAAGCGAGCTTTGCACGATCAATTACGACTCTGATGAATCCGCGGCCATAGAGATGGACGACCATTTTTATATCAAGGCTAGCCAGCTTTATGTACAGCCGAGTCGAGGTCCTATAAAACCCTGGGGATTGGCGGAGAGCTACAGTGCCCAGATTACTTTGAATGCGATAGACGTTGATGAAAAGTGGCCCCCCTTCCTTTCTGGCGAAAGACCGCAGGGCAGGAAGTGGCGGGAACCCTTTTACGTTGTTTTGTACTGCACCCTTGCCTCTTTGCCGATGACTTCAGGTATTTCGCAGTACGATGTGTTTTTGAAGTTCGATTCGACTACCAACGAGCGTTCAGGTTTAAGTCTCGAAGTAGACTATGGGTGGAGTCAAGTACAATCACAACGTAGCGGACTTGATCACCATTTGGCTAGGCTTCCGACACCTACCTTGGATAAGGAGCAGTTTTCGTGCTCCAGACCGACGTACAGTGTTTTGACTATCTACTACTTTCGGGGCTCAGTAGATGAGAAGGATTTACAAAATCAATATGGGGCTCCAAATCTCAGAGACCAACATCTGTTCTCGATTCCCGGATATACCTGTCCCATTTGCGACGGTAAAAAGTTTCACAACTTAAAATTTTTGCATTTACATCTAATTACTTTCCACGATCTGTTCCATTTTCAGGTAAAATCAAAAGAGCAGACGAAAGGTTTGGAGAGCATAATCGAGATCTCTGTAGATCTCTCTAAGGAACAATTGACTGCCAGAGCCAGTGACCATGTTCCTGATCATAGAGTATTTCGCTGGCAGAAGCCCACCACCAAATTTGATCTTAATACTATGCTTAAGGGTGATTGGGCTTGGCTCAATGAAAAGAAAAGTGCCTCTTTAATCGGGAATTATCGCCGAGAGCCATTGCAATCAAGTAATGGAATTAGTGCTCCCGAGAGAAAAATCAATCTGTATGACGTTCAACCCCTACCAAAGATGGGAAGGCGAAAATATGTTGTTCCGGAGGCTAGAAACGGCGTGAGAGGCCTCGTATTTGTTCGGAACAAAAGTAAACGCTTTGTGCATCCCGGCGAGGAGCTCAGTGAGAGTGACGATGACGTGGACGAAGAATGGTTGAAGATGAAACATGGGGAGGTAAGCTCTAAAGACATTAACGTAATATTCTCATATTTCAGGAGCAATTCTTGCTAACATTCTCCTTAGACTGTTGAAGACTTCAGTGATGTAGTGGCAAATGAACGGAAGTTCATGGTGTTGTGGGATCGTTATCTTTATGAAGAGCGGTAAGATAATTTAGTAATAGTTCAATCGTTTTCCTCAGTTGCAATCTTGATGCTAATTGCGTTGCCTTGACCCTAATATAGTCCTAAAGGCAATATCCAAGTCCCATCAGTCTTGGTCCGCTTTGCTAGGGATATGGGGGAAATTCTTAGAAGCTCAAATCTCCTTGTCGAATTCTGGAAGCATTGTTTGAATCTGGTGCAGTATCGGGTTATTGATGCAGAATGTTTAAAAGTTTGCATGGCTATCGCGAAGGGCAATAACCCATGGTCTTCAGCCGGTATTTCTACTGTTGGGCTTGGACTTGCTGGCCCTATTGCATTAGATAGCTCACCAGGTGTCGTGCCACCATCGGAGGACCCGATGGACCTAGATGGTGAAACTTCTGATGGGGATCCCGATGATGAACAATTAATATTTGTGCGGGGAGCTCGAGATTTGGGATTTTGTACCTGTGGGAAGCCGTATGAGAGATCTCAGATGGTTCTTTGTGTTGGTTCGGTAAGCGGATAGTAGCCTCTTATTTTACCCCTGAATCACTCGGACTTAGTTTTGCCTCACTAACTTTCAAACTAGACTTGCGACAGGCGCTGGTTCCACAAATCCTGTTTTAACCTAGAGAATCTTCTTGACGAATGGAAATGTCCGAAATGCATTGAGGTAAGCGATAATAATGAGTAACTACAGTAACACCGGTTTCTGTAGGTCTCAACACAGAAACCTCTGGACTTGTTTTTGGGTAACTATTGCAGTCGTACTGCTTGTTTTATGGCTTCTGCCATAGTATTGGAAATGTTAATGTTGGAATAATCCACACTTCTGTTTTGAGCTCACTACCTCAATACTTTAGTTCTTTCAGCTGCTGTGAAACCTATCATATTGCTAGTCTGGCGTACAGTTTCATGCGGTCTATATTTTGGAGTTTACATTCATATACCTGTAATCATCTGTTCATTTTTACCGTATCACACTCCCCCCCCCCCCCCCCCCCTCTTTTTTTTTGGCTGGTACGACTGTACAGTTTCCCCCACCATTGTTATGTCTCTCAAAACTCTATTTCCTTATTTTTATACATCCTACATTTCTTATACTCTTGATGAACCATTTATTTTGTTTTGACAAGGCGCTATTAATTTTTGTTTTTACGGGGCTGGATGGGTTTTGGCAACTGTTACTGTGGAAATTAGATACTCAAGTGTTAACTTAACGGCCTGCCCGATACGTGGTAAGAGGGTTTACGAGTAGGTTTGAATCACATGCCGCTATACTACGAATTAAGAGGTAGGTTTATGTTTTCGCCTGTAGCTTCATCAGTCTCAAACATACGGATAGATATGTTAAAGGCTCAAAGGATGCATATGTGCGCATTTATGCAGTTCTAACGAAGTTGACATAGGAAGCTCTAAAGGTCTGTTCCACAGAGGGTTAGCTGCAGCGTTATGATAGCTACACAGTAGGCCTTATAAAAGAGCCTGCCTCCATTTCATCAATATATAGGACAAATGGCCTAAGGAAGGGCATCGTAGCGTACGTAGCTGATAATCATCTTTAGGGTTGTATCAAGAGTATCTAAAATCATGATTAAGCACCCCATGAAAAGGCCATATATGTGGTCCAGAAGATAAGTCGTGGGCTTTCGTGGAATCTTCCAGGCTGATAATTCGATGTTTCTACCTTGGTATGCGCCGTTCACAGGGTACAGTAATGGAGGGAGCTGGCCTAGTTTATGCGCTTGTTTGGCTGCTTCTAAGCCAACTGGTCACGGCACTCCTGGAAGTCCTTATATTTGCCGCTTGCCTCAAGTCGCAAGATACTTAAGGGGAGTGAGAGTTGGTAGGTCAGGCTGAGCGAAACCAAAGTAAAGAGCGGAGGGAGAGAGATAGTTTCATGGTTACACGTAGTTCGTACTCGCGGAGATTCCAATAGGCCCACGCTTTCTTGGGCTGCACCTGGACTCAAGCACCCCGGCCGGGACTGCGTCGGTGGCCTTACTGATGGGCTGGGATTGGGCTCTGATACCCTTAGCCTGGGACTGAGGGTGGAACGGAAGGAAGTGTCAATTTTCAATTCAAATAAATGATTCTGAAAGCTTTTCTGAAAATCTATTATATCCTCCAATTATTGAATGTTTGTATTAGTGTTCAGTACCAATGACATTCCTGGGACTAGTGCCTTGTGTTGGGTACAAGCGGGGCTAACTCAAGATTTGAACTCGAGGTTTAGACGTGAATCACTCAAGCCAGTTCGATTCAGCATTAGGAAAGCTCGAGCTTAGATTCAAGGATTATCAACAATTAATAATGGTCTTGTTTTAACATTAAAATAATATTCAAATAACTATTTTTAATATATCCTAAAATTACAACAATTGAAGTCTGCTTACCTAACTTCCTAAATCGTAAAAAAGGGATGTCATTCCTTCGTTCCTTTTCAGGGTAGTTCAGATATACCTGTTAAAGAAATTCTTGCTTCAGTGAACTCAACCCTGACTCCCTGGAGCATTTTTGCCCCCAATGTCATGGTTTGTCACCCATCTTTCATGAAATTTCCCTTTTCTAGTCACGGTAGCTTTACATTACCTATCATGGTTCACCTACCAAATAGTACAAAACACTATCTCACTTAATTAGCGTGAATCTCAGGCACGAACGAAGGGATGTGTTACAGCCTCTCACATGAACACTGTCAGGTGTCACTAACAACAAATTTTCTATGAGCCTAGCTATGCAAGGCCCGGGTATGGTCAAGTCCAACACAAAATATATTAAAATAAGGAAAGTTAATAAGATGGGTATAGGACTACAGACGAGTACAGTATTGGGGATCAGGTTAAGAGAAACAGTATGATAGTAAGAGTGAGAAAGTTGTACATCAGCAAAAAACGGGTCTCGTCTTGGGGCACATGAGCGCCCCAGATGCCCCAAATGCCCCAGATGCCCCATGACTTTTGCTTACCTATAGCCTAATGTCTGGGCGGTATACGGCGAGCATCCTGTATCTTTTCGTCAAAAGACATACTCAACTTGAAGATGCAAAAAACAATTTTCGTTTCAAAATAGCGTCTCGATATCTCATGACTAGTTCGTCTCCTGACAACTGAAGTTGTAATTTCTATCAATATATTCGTATTTTGACCAATCATGTTCATCTGATCCCATATTTCGACCAATTAACCATGCAGCGTTGCTCTTTTCTTTCTTTAATCTATGTATTTTGAATATTACAAAATGTTGTTTGTCCATAAAGTCTCATCGTTTGACCATTGCACTTTATTCTCTCTCATCGGTTTTCATGGGTCGATTCAAGTTAGTTAACACACTGGATTACAAGGAGCCTGAGTTGTATTAGTCAGAAAGGTTCTATCAAGTTCTATCGAGTTCTGTTTGTCATAAGGGTATGAGACACTGTGGATTTGTTATCATTGGGATTTTCTTCAGTATATTAGAAGTCTTCGCCCTTGCTTCTGTTCTTTTTCTTTCCTTTCCTTTGATACGCAATGTCTTCTATATATACGCTGTCTATTGTTCCATAATAACCATTTCCTCTCCACTTACAAGGAGACCATCACGCTGCTACTTCCTTGACCCCGTTGACCCTAACTGACACTAGAATCCCCTCCCGATTCTTATCGCAGACTAACTCGCCAGTCTCTACCACCACTGTATGGAGAAATTGCCAGCGCTAAACGATTATTCTGTAGTATTTAAACTGATGATGTTTTAAATCAGATTCTCTTGACTTGTGTAACAGCAATATTATGTTCTGGCTCGGTTGATAAATGGGATCGTGACGAGAAGGTATTGTGCAGTCGAACTAGGATTTGTAATGGGTTTTCTTTTATGTTCTTTTGGTTTCCGTTACGCGAAGTATTAGTGATCAACGGACTAAGGGTTTGATATATAAGGGAGCGTTGTTTCGTTTCTTTTCATGTTTTCCTTCCTTTCCTTTTCTCTTCACGGAACCTCCTGTATCTACCCTCGCAACACCAAAACTTTCGAACGATAAAACTTTTGGCCTGCACTCTCGATAAAACTTTTACTCGAACACGATCCTGTATGTCAATAGACTCCGTAATCTATTGGTATCTTATCGCACATCTGTTCGTACGCGAAGTCATCCACGCTCTAGTCCCTGAGTTGTGAACTTTCTACCCCTCAAGCCCTCGCCTAAGTCTCGCGACCGCAGCGAAACCAACCAACAACCTGGCCTCACCACCCAACCCACCAAACACCGCGGGCAGGAAAAGAACTCTATCAGAAGTCTTCCCAAACCCAACTCGAACCGGAACATCAATCATGTCCCAACAAGCCTCTCTGAGCTCCTGGTTTGCAGGAGCCCCCCCCCAGGAACCCCAGCCCCCCCACGTTTTGCCGACACCCAATCCAGTCAATCCACCCAACAAACACAGTCCACCACGATCGAGCAAACCCAACCCAGCGGCGAACCCTTCTCTATCTTCGCCGAATATACCCAATACAATGAACCATACGCACCAAAGTATGACTACATCAACCCTAGCATCGTCCCCCAAGAAACCCATGCCAGAATGGATCTCAATTACATCTCGTGGGTAATTAGAAATGCCCTCACCGTGGCGCTCAAACCCCTCAACAAGGCAACCGAACAAACCAACAAGAATCTGAAAGCCACCATCGAAGTCCTATCCGTCCAAAATGAATCCCTCAAGCACACCGTCGACACCCTGGCCAAACAAATGTTCGAAATGACAAAGAACCAGGACAAAACATCCGAGAAACTCCACCGCCTACAACACCAACTCACCAATCTCTCCATCAACAGGCACAACAACCAAATGGCCGCCGAAGGAAGAACTGCCACAACCACCGCCGCCGTCACCGCTGCCACCATCCCCGCCCCTCCCCCCGCACCCATCAATAACTCGAACCATGCTCAACATCAACCAAAAGGAAAAGGAAAAGAAACACCAATCCCACAAGCACCAAAATCCTACGCATCCATCGCAGCAGGAAACGCCAACCCCGAATACACCATGGTCACAAACAGGAGGAAGCCCAAACCTAAGGTGGACCCACTATTCAAACCAGAAGTCACCAAAATCAACAGGGAAATAGTCATCGAAACAAATAAAGAATCACCAGTCACCCCCTCCGACATCAGAACAAGAATCAAGTCAAAAATCGAAAACCCAGACTGCCAGCTTATCGCCGCCAGGAAAACCTCAAAGAACAACATCGTGCTAGAAACCAAATTTGCTACCCCCGCCTCAAAAGTCTTCGAATACAAACAAGAAATTGAATCAGCCCTAAGAGAACTCAAGGTCCCCTTCGTTGACATAAGGGTCAACTCCAGATGTTCCAAATTTATCGTACACGGAATCCCAACAACAATCGGAGACGGCTATGAAGCAGGACAGGTCATGGCCTCAGAAGTCAGAAGCAACTACGGAACCACCTTCGAAATGGCACAAATCCCCAGATGGCTAAGCAGACCTGAGGCTAGAGCAGGGAAAACGCACTCGTCAATGATCATCGCACTCCCAGGACAATATACAAAAGACAACCTCGGACTGAGATATCTTACCCTATTCGACCGGCAATGCAAAATCGACAACTACCTCCCAGCCAACCCAGAAACCCAATGCTCCAAATGCTTAGAATATGGCCACCGACACGAAAGATGCTCCCACCAAACCGGGAGATGCGGACACTGTGCAGAGGACCACCAAACAAAGGAACACCCATGCTCAGAATGCCCAGGAGGCACCAGATGCATCCATACACCCATCCGATGCTACCACTGGAAGGCCCCACACAAAGCAACAGACGCCAATTGCCCAGAACGTACCAAAGCCCGCATCATAAACAAACTTGGACCAGACACAAACCCAAGCCCACTACCAATACCCATCGTCATCCCGGCCCAAGACCCCCCCCAAGAAGATGCAGCCATGGATAACACCCAATGAGTCACATCAAAAGAACAACGGCCATCGCACAGCAACTGAACTGTGCGAAAAACGAGCTTACAACAAAGTCAGTAGTGGAGGAAGCAGAACAGGACCACAACATACTTTTCCTTTTGTTACAAGAACCATGGAACAACAAAGACGGCCACCCACCGGAATCCCCTCTCTTTTACCTATTCACAGCCAGCAACAAGGGCACTAAAGCCGCCACATACATCAGGAAACACGCCAACCTAAAACCAAAACACCACTACACCCACAGTAATTTCATCGTCTCCGTCACGGTGGAAATCCAGAATCAGAAAACACAGATCCTCAACATATACTCACCAGGACGAAGCGGACCCTTCGCAGAAATCTCCAGACAGATAACCACCATCCAAAACTGCCTCGTCATGGGAGACTTCAACAGCCACCACCAACTCTGGTATGGGCACAGATCCCACGACTACACCAACACAATCAGAACGGACAAACCCGGATCCAGGAAAATAAAGAGATGGATCGATCGACAAAGGCTATCCCTACTTAACGAACCAGGCGAATTCACACATTTCCCCAGAAACAACAACAGACCGACCATCATTGACTTGACTTTAGTCAAAGGACCAGTACTGGACCATGACGTCCGGTGGAACATTGACCGACA